GATGCTCTCGTGCTGTTGGGCATCAGCCATTCTGACAGGATGCGGGGAGGGTTCTCTGATGAAGACAACTGTCCGAACAATGCAAATAGACACAGATGTTGAAGAATTTTCATTATTCCACACTCATGTTCTATGGATCTGACCTTGTGTCGGCTTTGAGTGATCCAAGAAATATCGATCCAAGCATGGCGCTTTTTTTCAGCCATTTTTTTAACTGCTATCAGCGGCTTTTTTCGCCTAGAATCAAAACCTTCAAAGACGTCTTTTTTTTTTATTAATGCTAATCGCATTTTAGAATTCATTAAATATTCTTTGAATTAAAATTTGTTTCGGTAAATCCATTTATTTTTCTTTCTCGAGCATCTCTCTTTTAAAAATAATTTCCGCTAGCTTTCATTATCCCTTTCTTCTTTTGTTCATCACATCCTATTTGAAGGGGATTTCCTCCATCTTTGTTACGTCACTTTTTTGTTACTTTCATATTTGTATATAGCGTTTTACAGGCTTTCAGAACCATTGCCCAATTATTTCTTTTCATTTCTGTCCTTCATCTCAGGTTTTTTGTCTATATCATACATTATCAGTTTCTTTCTTTCTTTTTTAGCTTTACCTTCTTTTTTTCTTTTCTTTTTCTTTTTTCATTTTCTTCTTTTTTTACCATTAATTTCTTCTTTCCTTCTTTATTTCTTTAGTCACTTTCTTATTTCTTTGCATTAATTACTAATTTTTTCTGCCTTTCTTTCTTTTTAACCATTTCTTTCTTTCTTTTTAAGTTTACTCTCTTTTTTCTTTCATTTTTTCTTACTTTTATATATTCATTAATCTCTTCTTTATATTTTGTCTCTTTTTTATTTCTTTGCATTAATTACTATTTTTTCTGCCTTTCTTTTTAAACTTTTGGTTGTTTCTTTCTTCTTTCTTTCTGTTTAGCTTTACTCCTCTTTTTCTTTCATTTTCTTATTTCTTTTTTACATACATTAATTTCTTCTTTCTTTCTTTCTTTCTTTATTCACTTTCTTATTTCTTTGCATTAATTACTATTTTCCTGCCTTTCTTTCTTGTTACTATTTCTTTCTTTTCTTTCTTTCTTTCTTTCTTTCTTAGCTTTACTCCATTTTTTCTTTCATTTTTTTTCCTTTTATACATTGATTAATTCCTTCTTTATTTTTTTAGTCTCTTTCTTATTTCTTTGCATTAATTACTATATTTTCTACCTTTCCTTCGTTTTAAAATTTTGTTTCTTTCTTTCTTCTTTCTTTCTTTCTGTCTTTCTTTATGAATTTATTTTTAGGATTACTCCCTTTTTTCTTTCATTTTTTCTTTCTTTTAATCGTTCATTAATCTCTTTATTTTTTATCCCTTTCTTATTTCTTTGCATTAATTACTATTTTTCTGCCTTTCTTTCTTTTTAACCATTTTTTCTTTCTTTCTTTTTTACTTTCTTTTGAGGCTTGCTCTTTTTTTTCTTTTTTTTTCTTTCTTTATGCATTCATGAATTCCTTGTTTATTTCTGTAATCGCTTTCGTATTTCTTTGCATTAATTATTATTTTTTCTGTCTTTCTTTCTTTTTAACCATTTCTTTCTTACTTTTCTTTCTTTCTTTCTTTCTTTCTTCGCTTTAATCACATCTTTTTTCATTTTCTTCTTTTTTATGGATTCATTCTTTAATTGTCTGTTTCTTTAGTTACATTTTATTTTTTCGTTAATTACTATTTTTCTTTCACAAAATTCTTTCTTTGTTTATAAACATTTCTTTTTTTTTTCTTTCATTCATCCAGTCTTTCTTTCTTTCATTCTTTCTTTTGGTTATACAGTTCTCATTGATTATTTCCTTCCTCTCATTTTTCTCTCTTCCTTATCCACTTTTTTCTTTGGTTTAGATAGTTTTCATTTCTTTGTTGTTTTTATCTCGTTTTAACGACTTTCGTTAATTCTTTTCTTCTTTTCTCTATTTCTTAAACAATTATTTCTTTAATGACAGATGCTAACCTCCAGTAGAGTGCCTCGATACCCATTCTCCAGCTAGCATTTTTGGCTGACATGAAGTGAACGAGGCATATTGAATCCATTACTAGCCCATCAACTAAGAAAGATGGTTAACTGTTTCATGCTAGACAATTTTTCTTTCCTGGATCTATCTTACATGTTTTTAAGTCTACCATTCGGCCATGCTTGAAATATTGCTGCCACATATGGTCCAGTGCTCCAGCTATATATTTAGACATTCTTGATAAAACTCAAAGAAGAATCAGCAATATAGAAAGAAAGCTGGGTTGTTCGAGGAAAGGATATACAGAAGGACGGTTATTGGGATTAAGGCATCAGAAAATGTCGATTGATATTACATTTGAATAATTGAATATTATAGCTATCAGGGAAGCAAGTAAGAGGAAGGGAATTCCACTGCCGGGAAGTGCAAGAAAAGAAGCTGTTGGAGTAGAACAGGCGGTTGTTGACCATGTTTGCCGCAGTCTCTGAATATGGAATCCAGTGAAGTCCGTAATCTGTTCAATATCAGAGGTCAGCAGTGAACATTCAGAGAAAGTAGCGGTTGTTAAGTAATTCTTTAAGTCTTCGATATCAGGTTGGTAGTGCAGACAATTTGGGAGAAAAAATGGCTGCCTTTATACACGTCGCATTGAATATTTTGAACTTTCTGATTGGTTAACCTTTCTATTGGTGAACAATAAAACGAGTCAGCTCATTTAGGCTAGCTTACTAGTACACAGTACACAAAAAACTGCAACAGCGGTTATATTTAACTGTTTCGATAGTGAAAGTGTGGCACCGAGATGACAACCTATTTGGCATCCTAGTTTCAACCGTTATCTTCTGTCTTCCTGATTACTTGTCTGGTGCTTTCGCTTCATAATAATGGTTCTGTTTCTAATTCTTTCACACCCAATAACTCAGTAACCTCTTCTTAGTGGCTTTACTCTTTCGCTTAGGGTCAATCCAATTAAAAAAAAAAGAAAGGCAGACAAACTAGTAATTAATGAAAATAAATAAGAAAGAGACAAAAAATAAAGAAGAGATTGATGAATGATTAAAAGAAAAAAAGGGAATATACCAAGAAAGAAAGAAAGAAATGGTCAAAAAGAAAAGCTCCCTAAATTTGCTATCTTGTGCCTTTGCTATATATGTACTTCCATCGTAATTGCTCAGAGGAGTTCTTACCTACGGTAACTGAACTTTATTAATTTACGAACTCGATTGACAATAAGTAATTATCATTTTATAGTTGAATTGGCTAGAATGAACCGTAAGTTCTATGCTAACAGTTTCTTTTCTCCCACATCACGCCTGTTGAATTCTCTTCCGGCTCCATGCTTTCCAGTTAACTTTGACTTTCTAAAATTTAAATGTAAAGGCAACCGTTATCTTCCGTGTTCTTGATGACTTGTCAGGTGCTCTTGACCCTTAATCATGGTTCTGCTTCTAATTCGTTCACACCCAGTAACCTCTTCTTAGTGGCTTTACTCTTTTGCTTAGTGTTGCGGATTCCGGGATTAAATCCGGTACCAATAAATAACAAACGCCAGGAATGAATATATGAAAATAATGTATTAACGTAATAATACAAACTGGTAATGTAGGTTAGTAGTTCCAGGAATACGGGTTAGTAGCAAAATATCTATACAGTCTTTGGTATTGAAGTATCGCTGTATGACTTCTTACTGAGTCTACGTGCTCGCTCACGGGGACTCTTGCTGGCTACGTTCGTTCTGTCTGTCTGTTACCTTCAACCTTTCACTCTTCCGGTTACCTACAACTTTTCACTCCTCCTCTGTTCTCGTCTTGCTCACTTGAGTCTTGTATATACTGTGTGAGTCCATTTGTGTAAAAAGGGGAGGACCCCTCAACACTTAGGTTAAATCCAATTAAAAGAAAACAAAACCCTCTTTCGTTCTTTTAACGACTTTCATTAATTCTTTCCTTCTATCCTTGCTTTCTGTCTTATTAGTCACATTTTTAACCACTTTTCATTTCTTTCTTTGATTATTTATTTAATTTAATCACTGAAGCTTTGCTTTCATTAACCCCTTTCTTCCCTTCTTCCATTCAATACAACTAACACTGAGTAATCTAAAAAAAAAAACCCTCAAAAAACAAACAAACAACACCAGATTTTAAAATGTTCACATCCGCAGAAGAAATTGAGGAAGTTGAGGGAGCTTTAGCAGAGGCGTCACTCGAAAACACAGTTATCACAACTACAGTCTGATGAGTATTACATTGATTCAACACAAGGTGTATATCGATTTAGTTATCACATTTAACTAATTTCTTTTCTTTTCCCCAGGCAGTCTGCTGGAGATCTTGCATTACTCGGAGAGATTCCTTCACAATGCCCCAGCGGGGGGGGGGGGGAGGACGAAGATTCTTGTGAGTGCGTGCATGTGTGCGTGTAAATTTCAACTCGACAGATGAATACGAACATCAGAGATATTGTTCAAGATGGCGGAGCGCCGTGATGCGCCAACATGCGCATGCGTGCCAGAGATAATATCACCTCATTTCACAGAATGGAAGAACTACAAAAAAAGGAAAAAAGAAAAATGTATGCCTCCATCACCTGAAGCAAATCTTGTATTTCGTTCTGATGCGTGGAAAGCGGAGAAACACGTTTGATAACCACATTTTTGACGTTGAAGAATTTATTATTTACTGCTTTATCTCCTTTTATTTAGTCTTTCTTTTCTTTTCTTTTCTTTTTTTTTTTGATATTTACCTGGTTGTGTTCTTTCTATGTATCTCTTTAATATTATTTTTGCATTTTTATCTCGTTCTATCTGTTACAGTTATATCGTGATGTACTCTTTCACAATTTATTTTTTCCATCTTTCTTTTTTCTGTCTTTCAAAGAAAGAGTTTGACTTTCTTTACTGCTCGTTTAAAGTGCTCGTTTATTTATTAAACTTACGTTTTTATCTGTATGCTTTGTTTATTATGATGTCACAGTTTCGCATACATAACTTGGTTGTGATCGGGGCTTTCCATGTATTGCGTAGATATTTTCCACAATATTATCTCTCTTCTTTTTGGTAGGTGTCATATATGTACTTTTCAAATTCCTTACACCTTTCTTTCTTTCTTTCTTTCTTCTGTCTTTCTTTCTTCTTTCTTCTTTCTTCCTTCCTTTCTTTCTTTCTTTATTTATTTTTTCTTTATTGCTTTCTGCTTTCTAACTTTTTATATACTTTGTGCTATGTCCGTCGTTCAAAACACTCTTTTTTTCTTTGTTTTTCTAGTTTTTGGTTTCTCTGTTGCTTTCTTTCTTTCTTCCATTCCTTCCGACAATCCCTGTATTTGGAAATCTTGTTCATTGTTCGTTCGTTCCTTCCTTCTTTCGTTTCTTTCTTTCTTTCTTTCTTTCTTTCTTTCTATTTTGTGCTGTGATCGTCATACAAATCACTGTTTTCTCTATGTTTGTTTATTTTTTTGCTTCTGAACTTCTTTGTTTCTTTCTGTTTTTCGTTAGTCCCATGCCTGTATTTCAAAATCCTGTTTTTTGTTTGTTTGTTCGTTTTTTTGCTTGTTTGTTTCTTTCTTTCTTACTTTCTTTCTTCCCCCCCCCCCGTAAATATCTTGTCTGTATTTCAAAATCCTGTTTTTTGTTTTTTTATTTTTTTGTTTTTTCTTTCAACCGCTACTATCGTGCCTGTATTTCAAAATCCTGTTATTTTTATCTTTCTTCCTTCCTCTCTTTCTTTTTTCTTTCTTTCTTTTTTCTTTCTTTCGTTCGTTAGTATCTTGCCTGTATTTCAAAATCCTGTTATTTGTTTGTTTGTATCTTCCTTCCTTCCTTCCTTCCTTCCTTCCTTCCTTCCTTTGATTCTTTCTTTCTTTCTTTCATTTGTTCTTTACTATACTTCAAAATCCTGTTGTTTTGTTTGTTTTCTTTGATTGATTGTTTGATCTTTTTTTCGTCCATTACTATCATTTCTGTATTTCAAAATCCTGTTCTTAGTTTATTTGATTGATTCTTTCTTTCTTTCTTTCTTTCTTTCTTTCTTATCTTCAAAATCCCGTTGTTTGTTTGTTTTGTTTCGTTCTTTCTTTCTTTCTTTGTCCATTACATTAGTATCTGTATTTCAATGTCCTGTTCTTAGTTGATTTGATTCTTTCTTCCGCGTCTCGTATACACGAGTTTGTCGTTGCTTTGAAATTTTTCATTCAACAAAACAGACTATCATTATTGTGTTGTCCATGTATTGTTTAATATATTGTAATTTAATTGTCATATTTGATAATGGCTTATATAAGCCGAAAGCTTAGATATGATTAAAACATGTATCAATATGGTGATTTCCTTTCGTCTTTCAATGATAATGTTATTAAGCTTATAAGACAATATGAAAGGAACAAAACGTGTCTATATTATCTAATGGAATATGCGTTAATGAAAATTTGCTGCCTAAATATACACAATATATATATATATATATATATATATAATGTTTATTATAAACAGAACATTTACTTAAATATTTGTATCTATAAAACGAACATATAACGATAAAATAAATTGTCGAACTTTGTCCATTTCATGATGTGTGACGTCATTAGTTTACATTTGGATACGCATCAAGCAGATATGAATGTATGAGAAAAAATAATGGCGAACTGTCGTTTAAAAATAGTAAAATCGACCTTGCTAACCGAACGCTTCTCTGTGGCCAAATCGGCAAAAGCACGTCAGGCTATATTACAGTTCCGTATATGATGGAGGTTCGATTCCTCTCGGAGGACGAATATTTTCTATGAAAATATCTCGGACATTCACGCCGGTAAATGTTGTTAATACTGTTTATTATAAACAGAGCATTTACATAAATATTTGTATCTATAAAAAGAACGTATAGACATAAAAAATGTCTTAAAATAATTGTCGGACTTTGTCCATTTCATAATGCATGACGTCATATATATATATATATATATATATATATATAAAGAATTGGGGTAGCAGATCATTATTAAACATATATTGTTAAATATAACAGACAATGAATGTCTATTATGTTTGATCATGAGCTTTTTTAAATACTTGGCCAAATAGAACAGAAACAAGACAAGACGGGATTTTGATGCAAATGCTGACAGCCTTAGATGACTTTGGCACAGACAAGGTCACCGAAATAAGAAATGAAATCTACAACAGCGCGGATATACCGGAAGACCTCAGCAGATCTATCCTCATAGATTTTGCCCAAGAAACCAGGCGTAAACGAACGCGAACTTCGAAAAATGAGCCTAATGAGCCACATGATAAAACTCATCATCCGTATTCTGATGAATAGAGCACGCAGCAAAATCAGGCCAGGTATAGGACAAGAACAGTAAGGGTTCGTTAAAGACACGGGAACAAGGATCGCGATAGTCATGCTCAGAATGTTATCAGAAAGAGCGATACAGATATAGGAGGACATGTATCTATGTTTCATAGACTACGCCAAGGCCTTTGACAAAGTACGCCACAAAGATCTGATGGAACTGCTCAGCAGCCTTGATATATTCGGGAAAGATATCAGAATAATAAAGCACCTATACTAGCAGGAACAGCATGCATGTGCAAAGTGAACGAGTTCAGTGAATATACAAAAAAAAAAAAAAAAGAAAGCGGCGTAAGGCAAGGATGCGTCTTCTCACCGGACATGTTCAACCTATATAGGGAGGCAATTCTAAGAGAATCCGAAACTCTACCGGGATTTAGCATTGGCAGCCACAATCTTAACAACATAAGATATGCAGATGACACAGTACTGATACCAGACACGGGAAAGAAATTACAAAAATCTCCTACAGAAGGTAGCGACGGAGAGTGAGAAAAAGGGACTAAGAATCAACTAGAAGAAGACAGAATTCAAGGTTATCAGTAAAAGAATGAGACCAAAATAGGAATTTGAAGGTTGGGAATACTAGAATCAAGCAAACGCGGTGCTTTAAATATCTGGGAAGCGCCTTGACATTGGACAGTAAATGCAACACTGAGATCCGAAGACGTACTGGGATGACCAAAGACGCATTCCAAAAGCTAGGCAGAGTACTGCAAGACAGGAGGATTTCTTTGGTAGCAAAGGAAAGAATACTGAACTGTTACGTGACATCTGTCCTTCTTTACGGAAGCAAATAGTGGACGATTTCCTCAGAGATGAAGAATATACTTGAGGCGACAGTGGTTCTATAGAAGGATGCTAAGGAGATCATGGACCAAGAGTGTGAGCAACGATGAGGTCTTAGAGAAGTTGCAAACAAGGAGGAGGCTTATACTTAATATCAGGAAGAGGTAGCTGAAGTTTCTGGGACACATAATGAGGAAGGAGGGCCTGGAGAATCTGATACTCACGGCTCGAATAGAGGGAAAGAGAGACAGGGGAAAACAACACGTGACATACCTGACGGACTTAAGCAAGTGGATGACACAACTTGATCCGGAGGAGAAGCATAGGTAAAGAAACTTGTTGAGAGCTGCAAGGGATAGAGGGAGAAGTGGAGCGCCATGATCACCTACGCCCTGAAATGACATAACACATAAAAAGAAAGAAAGAGATTTGCTTTAATTTCGGGTGAAAATAAAGACAGAAATTGCCCAACATTAAGATATTTTTTATTATGCTGTTCCTTGATCTAAGGATTCGGTTCACATGAGCTATCATCAAATTGGTTGCATGGACATTACAACGGAGATGTTTACCATCAAATATGATGCCTTGTTAGGTATACATAGAAGTTTGTTATGATGATAACGGTCTCCGAATAGCAGCCGCTGGTCGTAAATTCGTAATGCGGTCCTATAACGTCGTACATAACCACGTGAGAGAAAGACATTTCATTTTTTGTCTGTTTATTCTCCGGAAACTAAAGTCAATATACGAAGCTTAGAATGGGTCATGATTAAACAAGAGACATTCGTTGTCCTTTATATTTAACAATATATGTTTGAATATATATATATATATATATATATATATATATATATATATATATATATATATCTTGTGTATTTAGTCAGGAAGAATTATTCCAAACAAGTTACATTAAATAGCACCAAAAATTTTCAAGTCAAAATTTTATATTGGGTTTACAATAATCGACTAACATGTGGCACCTTGATTGAGATATTAAACTTCGATCCAGGGTCACAGAGCCAGAAAGCGAACACACACACACACACACACACACACACACACACACACACACACACACACACACACACATATATATATATATATATATAATGATATGTTTCGTTGTATAGTTTAGACATTCTCTGTTTACTGCTTTTTGTAAAGATCCTTTCATAATCGCAGATAAACTTTTTGGTGTCATTATTGAAGAACGAGATAAAATCGCTGTGTTGATACATATTTGTTTTATTTCCAAGTACTTTCGACCTATGCATATCATCATCCGTATATTGTAGTATTCATTATTTTCAAAGACAAATTGTGTTATCTGAAAGTTAAATTTCTTACAAATGGAGTGAGCAACGCTTCGACAGTGTCTGGCCGATGAAACTGTTTAAAGGTAGGTAACTAAATATGGTTTGGAATATTTTCTTTACGAAATGAATAGTAAAATATACGTATGTATATATAATTGTGTTTCTCGTATATTTAGACAGAAATACTTCTATTACACATGGTTCATTGAATATGACGAAGAAGGAACATTTTATAATCATTTGTGCAGACATAACCCCTAGAAATTACAGACTTAAGCGCTTAATTCATCAGCCATTTTAAGGGTGTTTGTTGTTAGTATACTTATGTATATTATGTTTAGTATATTTATGCATACTATGTTAATTATACTTATATATACTATATATAGTATATGTTAATTATACTTATGTATACTATATCTAGTATATTTCTATTAAGCTGTGCTGTTACAGGAGTAGTGATATTTTCATGGAGATGTGACTTCATAAGTCTCCCAATATGTTTCGATTAGTTTCCAAGCTGCCAATCGTTAGGTTGAAGATATTTCCACCTGATGATTACTATCCTTATTGAAAGAGAGAGTTGTGGAATTGGAAAGAAGTTTCTAAGAAAAAGTCATTCTCATACAACACATTCACCATGCGCCCCTCACATACCGGCGTCAGGTATTGTTCACATTAATCACTCGTCCGATTTTGTTTGTATGGCATTGATATACTAGTCAAGAGCAGAAAGGCTTCCACCGCTGCTAGTAAACAGAGATTGTTTAAGCTTGTGGCTCGGCTCCAGGAAGGTTTATAGTCTTGGAATTACTTGTAACAGCTAAGTGCTGAGGTTACGTCATATAAAAGGCTGAATTAGATAGATAGCTAACATTAGAGTGTAATGCCTCAACATAAAATCCACATCCCTATCAGTCAAGCCAATTAGGTGGGCGTCCAAGCTTACTTTAGCCTGGGCGTTGCCTTGCATTAGTCTTGGAAGACGCACACGTAATTTCAGGTTATTTTAGGAAAAACGTGTGTCTTGTAAACCGTAAAAATATGGTAATAATTTGTAGCTCTGTTATTATACATCGGTCACCATTTATTCAGCGCCAGTAGTGTGTGATATATAAGCACATTGCCGGTGTTATTTAATAACAATTGTTTAGAGGAATATTTGATATATATATATATATATATATATATATATATATATATATATAAAATGAGGCCATGCATAAATTTTCATCTAAATTACGCAACAATGACAATAAGAGACGTCTCAATTTAACAGACATAATCAGCAATATTTCACGAAAATACTTTGAATTACTGAAGACTAAATTTATCCAACAGCTTTGCCATTAGCCTTCAAAAGACTTCGTAATCCCATGCCTTTAATTCATCTTTGGGATTTTGTTGGTCTCTTGCTCAACTGTGCCACACACATAATAATCAAGGGGGTTGCAGTCAGGCGAGTACGGAGTCATATGGTCGCAAAAATTGTCTCCAAGCCATGACTGTGCTTTCTTGTTTGACATGGTGCAGAGTCCTGTTGCCAGATAAAGGGTCTTCTAGCAGTCAGCCACCCACTTGACCCATGGCAGTACTACCTCCTCAAGGCACTTGATGTAGGCCTCCGTGATAAGTC